CGGGCGGTGTGGGCCGCGCTCCCCCCGGCTGCGGCCAGCCGCTGCCGCCCTGGCCGGGGCCGCTGCCAGGGCCGCCTCATGCTCCTGGCCCTGCAGGTCTCCCTCCACAGGCAGCGCGGGCAGCGCCAGCATCCCCAGCTCCCGCTGCCCTCGGAGCTGCAAACTTCCGAAACTCCAGTATTACGATAGGCACTGTCAATCCTTTTTGGAAAAAAGTGACATCTTAATTAAATCAGTCTCTAGACCCTTAAATAGGAAGAGCCTGATCTGGGGCGGGTTCCTGCTAGCTGGCGTTCTCCTTGTTTCGCACGTACCGAACCAGAAGCGTTGCTCGGCCACGAGATCCTGTGGGAGCCTCCGGAGGCAGTGGAGTCCCCGGGGAGCAGGGCTGCCCCGCTGGCCATCCCTCGGTCAGGGGGGAGCGTGTCTGCCATCTCAGACCAGTTTCTGAGCTTAGGTATCTCAATAAGTTAAAACCTTGTGGTGCCTCCCAAATGGAAAGGGTTTAACATCATTGTCCTCACCTGTGTCTTTTCACTTACAAAAAGGCTTTCATTTCCGCAGGTACAAACGTATGACTTGCTAAGTAATTCCTCTGGTAGTAAAAAGCTTGTATCTAAAATTTAAATTTGATCCTTTAAAAAAAAAAAAGGGCAAGCCAAGTAACTGCTTGATTGTGGCTAATCTTTCCAAAGTGCCTGAATTCTAATCTAATATTGAGCGATGTGTAATTAACGGCCGATAACGCGCGTTCCCCTGACGAGCGTCAGCGATGCGCGGTGCGTCGTGTCCCTTCTTCTCTCCCCCGCCGCCCCAGCTGCGCGCAGAGCGGGCGTCCGCGGCGCAACAGCCACCAGCGCAAGCTGGACCAGCAGGAGGAGAGCTGCCAGAACCTGACCGACTTCGCCCCCGCCCGCGTGCCCAGCACCCTCGACATCTTCACCGCCTACAACGAGACGCTGCAGTGCTCCCATGAGTGTGTCCGGACCCCCGTGCCCGTCTACGCGGAGGAGGCGTTGCGCTCGCCCGGGGATTATAAAACAACCTTCAATGGAAACAGGTGAGGCGGCCGGCGCGGTTTTCCTGTGGGTTGGGGAGCACCGTCCCTCCCCGGGGGTCCGCTGCCCCCTCTCTTCCCTGGGGAGAGGCCCCGGGAGCACGTGGCAGAGCTGCCCTCCTCCAGCTCTCCAAGCCGCCGCGATGCTCGCCCGCCCTGTAGCTCGGCATGGGCACGGCCGCTGGAGCTCTCAGCCCCCCGATGAGGATGGGCAGTCGGCTCAACAAGCCCTGGCAGTGTTCTGCACCGCACGTTTTTCGGTTCCCGGCTGCTGCCGCCAGCGCATAAGTGCCGCTGGATCCATCTTCCAGCATTCGTGCTGTCCCCTAAGCGGCATCGAAAGAGCTGCTGAGTTGCGAATGAGCGGGGTGATTAATGGAGAAGCGGGCGGCGAGAGCCAAATGAACCATTTGTCTGGCGTGAAATAATGATGCATTAACAAGGGAACTTAGCAGCAGCTGGCGGCGTGGTGTAAAAGATGCGAGCCCTTGCTCTGCGTGCCCCTTGCCTGTGCGGGGAGGGAGGTGGACGGGAGGGCTGGGTGAGTGACCTCTCCCCGCGCCCGGGCTGGCTCCCAGGGCCCTTTCACTGGGCGCTGCTGTGGTTTCAGCATGCGGGAAATGCATGTTTCCCATCAAAGCTAGAGGAAAAATCAGGAGGAGCGTTTTGAGGGGGAAAATGAGCAACTAGCCCTCCACGCAGCCTGGCTGGACCGTGGCGTGCGTGCCACCGCAGCCGATGTCCACCTGCATGAAGGACAGAAGCCCAGAAGCCAGCGGCTTAATAGACATCTTTTTAACCGTCATCGTCTGCGTGCCTGCGGGGGTTTGCTAGTTCACATTTTTCGGGTTTCCTCAGATCTTGGAAGGCAGAGAATTGGCAGGGATTGTCAAACCATTTCGTTGAACGTACCTGTGCGTTGATTTTGATGTGAACCCCAGCTAAGTGATGCGGGGGTGCAGGGGTGCCCTTGCTGTGCCTGGAAGGGGTTCGTTGCTTTTCTGCCATCAGGTGATGCTTTCTGGGACCTCTTGGCCTCGGTGCCTTTCGAGGCAGCCTGGCGGACCCCCGGATCCCCGCTGGCTGGGGATGAGAGCCGGGGAGGTGGCAGGTAGGAGATGTCCTGCTGCCACATGGGGTCGGACGTCCCCAGAGCAATTGGCTGCCTTGGAAGGTGCTCATGCACAGGGGTAAAGCTCAATATTGCGGTCCATCTTTTTCTTCTTCTTTCTCTGCTTTGCAGCACCCTGGTTTCCAAGGCCAATAAGCCCATTCAAAGCATTACTTTAGAGATACTTTTTTTTCCCTCTAAAAAAGCTGATTTTTGCAGCAGGCCACCTCGGCTTGCTCCTTGTGTGTTATATGCCAGCACGTGCAAGCCCCTTTTTCTGCTCGCTGCAGACCCTCTTCTTCTGACCGGCATCTTATTCCCGTGGCCTTTGTGTCTGAGAAATGGTTTGAAATCTCCTGCTGACTGGCCGAAGCCTGTTTGACTTCTGGGGGCAGGGCAGACGCCATCGGGCTGTTTCCTGGTACGTACCGCGCTCCCCCGCGTCCATCCCGTGTCCGCCACCCCGTGCCCGTCGTCCCCTGCCCGTGGGCAGCCGCTTTCTTCCCTGCCTGGTGCCATCCTCCTGCTCGCGCTTCTTGTGGGACGTCGGACCCGAGCAGGGTGGCTCGCCCGGCTGGGCTGGCCAGACACAACTCCCGCCATGGGTGGGACATTGGGTACCAAATGGCTTTTCCACGGAGGTGGATTACAGACGGGCATGAGCTAAGCGTCAGGGACTGGGATGGATGTGGACTTGAGAGCGAAGGGTCCCTGGGGCAGCCTTGAACTTCAGCCTGATCTTGTGGTTCCAGCCCACCTCTAAAACCTCAACAAGCGATAGTAATTTCTGTGCTGTGAAATGGCCTGATCTGTAATTAACCTCCTGTTGCATGATGGACAGCCCGTCTCATTCAAGGGTCACGCATCCGACATGCACGCTCCATCAGTAACCGAAAACTCATTTGATGATGTTTGCTGTCATCAACGCTTCCATGCTGCTGCTGCAAGGGTGCCGGGGTCCTCCTCTTCTGCCGCCTCCTCCTCCCGTGCCCCCCTTTGCTCTGTGTGAAGCCAAGCCTGCAAGCCCATGGATGCGGTCCCCAGCAGCCGGCTGCACGCCTCGGATACTGCTGCAACCGAAGGAGTACAACAATGTTGTGCCGGTTTCAACAGTACATTGTGTGGGGATTTTTTTTCCTTTTTGAGTTGGCTTGAGCCGTTTCCACCTCCTTGTGTTGCTTTTGAAGGTGGCACGGCCCATAGCGGTGGCAGGAAAAGCAATTAGGGTTTGCAGTGTGCCGGCTCACCGTGGGGCAGCGGTGCCCATTCAAGCCACGCGCTCAGGTGAATTAATTGGTCTGTCTCAAGTCCCTGCTGTAATGAATCATATATTCAGTGTAAATGAAATTTCCAGCCTTCCCTGACTGCAGCTTACTCGGAATAGCCTGTTTAACATTATGCTCAGCTATTGAACATAGAAATATAATTAGATTAGAATGGAAGGGAATAAAAAGTTAATGGTCTCGACTGTGCTCGGGGCTGGCCAGGCCGGGTGAGGTGTGCACCCACCTGCCTGCGCGGCGGAGGGCAGAAAGCAGAAGGTGAGGGTTCAGCCTCTGCCCGCTGGCGTCTTTGCCCGCAGGGTCCGGCTGACACCACCCCGCGGCTCGGCCCCCTGAGAGCCTCTCCTGGCTGGAGGGGCTCTACGATTAAATTTAAAAGGCTCTCACTCCTCATCTGTCCATGTTCTCTCATTATTTCTCTGACTCTCCTGTTGTGGCTGCTGTCTCGGGGGGACAAAGGGTGAAGGTACCTGGCCGAGAGCTGGTGTCAGTGAGCAAGGGCGGCTGAGGATGAACAGAGAGGTTCTGCAGGGTCGTGCTCAACAGCACGTGCGGGCGCTAGCTTCAGAAAGCAAACGGCAATAATCCACTGTACCTTTTCCACCACGGGCTTTGTAGTTTGTGATGTCTGTCCATTGGCTTAAAATTATTTAAAAAAAAAACAACAGAACAAACCCAACACAAAACCCAAGCCAGTCACACTTGGATGCCATCAGCAGCTCTCCTGCCTGAAGTAGAGGGAAGGAGAATGAGCAGCTCTGAGCTGGTGCTTGCTATGGGAAACCTGGGCAATTCCCACCGCTCCTGCCTGAGGTCCTGTGAAACTCTGCGTCAAAGACCGTGCCCTGGTCATCTCCATAGATTTCTTTAAATAGTCCAAAGGCGGTCCATTATGCCTTATTAAATCCTTGAAATTCTCATTGACCTGTTTTCATGGAATCCATAAAATGCGTATTGACGCGCTCTGGAAAAATCTATCCGAGTCGTACCTGGAGCATTAGCTCTGTAATAGTGTTTCAATTATTTATACAGTTCTGGAAGCTGCTGTTTGGTTTCATTAATGTTAACAAAATGAGATTAATCCAAAAACTGTTCTCTGCATGTGTACATGTGCATATGTGTATTTGTGCTGGGATATTTCTGGAATACACATGCATAAGTGGTACGTCATGGTAAAAACCAGGCGATGGCCATAGATCCCTGCCATATGTGGGGAGTCCTGTAGAGAACGTCACCGTGGCACAGGTAACAGGAGAAGTTGCCCTTGTCCCAAAATGGGGTCAACCCAAATCCTGTAGAAGTTCAAAAAAGGTCGCTTAATGTTTTTTCCACACCATGCTGTCTCCCATGCACGCTTGCCTACATCTTCTGCCGGGGCGCGCTTGTTAGAGTGAGGAACTGCCGGGGTCATAGCGCGTACGTCTTCGAGAGGGCTTTGCTCAGCGCGGCGGTGCTGCACAGCTGCCCCTGCCGCCCGGTGTTTGCCCGCGTCGGTCGGCGTGGCTCCCCGGAGCTTCCCAGGAGCCTGCGGTGGAAAGGTGCATCACAACCCCATGCAAACAGCATTTTGCATGAATGCATCTGTGCCAGTTGGGACATCCCACAGACGAAATGAATATTTCAAGTGTCACATGTCACTGTGCAAGGTAAAACCTCCCGAGAGCAGGTGGCGTCGGGATGAGCTCCCTGGTAGGCTGTCCCCTGTCGTCGTGGTTGCCTTGTACTGGCACCGGGCAGATGCTGCCGAGCGCAGGAGGAGCGGTGGGACTCAGGATGCCTTTCCAGCTCTTGTTTCTAGAGGAGAGGCTGGGGGAAAAGGAGATGCAGCTGCTTCTGGCTGCACCTCTTCTGGAGGGATGGCCATTTTCCCAGCTGGCTTGGAGCCGCGGCGTAGCCCAAAGGTGACAGTTGATGTTGACCCGCTGCATCTCGGCAGCGGTGGAAGGATGCTCCAGAGCACGCGGAGCTCCCTGGCCGGAGGGGTTATGCACGGCTTTCTCTCGGCGTGCGCAGGGGACAGCAGGCAGCCCGAGGGGGCACCCCGGCAGCGGGGGCGAGCGGAGGGTGGGGGGCTCTCCCCACTCTGCAGGCACACGGCCACGCACCGGGAGGGGTCGGGCGCTGCACTGGTCTCTGCGCCGGGAACCCCTGTCCTCAGAAAGGCTCAAAGCACTTTTGAAGTTTTAATTGATGGCACTTCACAGCTCTTAGCTGTGTAATAAGCAAATTAGCACTACTGAACATGTAGAGTCAGAGTTGGAGGCACAAGATGGACGATGTGGCCAGAGAGGGATGGCAGGGCAGAGAGGGTGTGCGGACGTTTCGGCTAGATGAGCACCCGGAGGCTGGTTGGAGTTTAACGTGGAGTTTATGTATTACAGTCCATCAGCGCCGTGTGAGTGCCGAATATCGTGCTGCCTGACTGGCAGTCTGGCATTTGACGATGCTGGTGGCACCGTAAGGCTGGGCCGAGCGGTCGCAGGGAGCAGATGTAAGGGACAGCGCCGCAGAACAGTCTCCAGCCTGGACAGCTGCAGGCAGCGCTGAGGTTGTGTCAGGGAACCTGGCAAAACACATCTCGTTACACGGCAAGCAGATGTTGAAGTTATTTCCTGGGGTCGGATCCATCCCGTGCCAACAGGAGCAACGGGGAGGGTTCCCGTGCCGCCGGCGCGGTCCCTGCCGGGGCACCGGCCCTCCCGGGGGCGGGCGACGGCGCCCGTGGTGAGCAGCTGTTGCAGCTTTCCAGCAGATTGGCTCCGCGGCCGTCGGGCCCCGCCGGAGCGCTGGCCTGTGGGTGGGTGTCACCGCCGGGCAGCAGGCAGCCCGCCAGCTGCTCCTGCACAGAGGGGGCCTGCAGCGGCCCAAGGCTGCTTTAGGTGAAGGGTAAAGCAGTCAGCGACAGCCTTTCTGCCAGGCAGCTCGCTGGAGGATTCTCTGCACGGGGGTATGAGAAGCAAAACTATCCGTGCCCCGATCACGGCAGGTGACGGAGGAGACGCAGTGCCAAGGCAGAGGCGGGAACAGCCGCCGTTTTGCAACCCAGAAGGTGAATTTGCTGAAAACTCGAGTGGCTTTGGCCAGCCACCGCAGCAAGCTGTGGATGTTTTGGTTTGATTTCGTACTGGCTTTGGGGCTTTCTGAAATGAAGTTTGAGATTTCACATTATTCTTGTCCTTAATCCCGCTCTCTTTGGCTGAAAAACCGCATGGAATGAGATTATACAAAAATCTGTAAGGTTGATCAAGCGCTGACCTACTTTGCACAAAGAGGCTATCTGGAATACAATATAAATTTTACATCCTGCAATGCATGCATTAAGTAGTATTCATCCAGAACACGTAAATATTCGGCACCGCTGTTAGGGAAGTGGCGATTGGAGACCTGAAAATCGTACTGGTACGGTAACATTGATCTGACCCTAGCTTTTGCACAAGGCAGTTACAATTTACAGTATTGTATGGTAATTCTGTGCTTTGAACATGGCGAGCAGCTGCTGCAATGGCCCCGTTCTGCCTAACAACAGCAAATGGTTTGTATTAACATTAACAGATAATGAGTCATCACAAAAAATCCAGGCTTGTCTTCGGAGGAGTAACAGCAGTCCCAGCACAGCCCCGGTGCAGGAGATTAAGGGCTCTGTAAAATCTGTCTTGCTAATTAAGACTTCAGTGCTGTTCTTGGAGATGGTATATATTGAGCATCTTGCTTAAAAATAAGGTTGAAGAAAGAACCCTTGAACAAAAAGCATGCTGCATTTCTAGATGCTAGTAACCAGCTAGTCAGAGATCGCGGCGTAGATTCGGGCATATATGTCACGAGCACTCGATAGGCAGCACGTCTGCATATGCTGTATATATATCTGCTGCGTATAAAGCCCGCACGTGGGCAGCTGTCTCAGGCCCGCTTAGCTGTATTGCAGCACGTATCGCTATACGTAAAGTCACAAACACGTAAAGCGAGTGGCCGCACGCTAATGATGGGGAGTAATTGTCTTTGCGTAAAGGTTTAAAGATTAAGTAGGGAGAGAGATTTCAGAAGGCAGCAAATAAATAGCTTAAGAAGAACTTCAATAGGATCTCTGGTTTTGATGCTTAACCAATTCTCTATTGATTTCTTTAGGGCATTTAACTTTAGAAAATCTTGTTAGTACTCATCATCGTCTTCTCATCTGCCAGAGCACTCGCTGCTCTTAGCCCAAGTATGTAAAGCTCCAGAATGCAAGGATGCTCAGAAATGAATCACGCTTTGCAAAACGCCCTGAGAGGGTACGAGGGTGCAGTAAGGCAGGCCAAAGCCTCCGCCTCACTCCCACCGCTCGCCAAGAGCATCCCCATCCCGACGCGTGCGTCCCCGTTCGCGCTGCCCCGCGCAACGCGGCTGAAAATCGGCTGGGCGAGGCTGGGGCTCCTCCAGGGAGGCAGAAGTAGTGGTCCCAGTCCCAAAGGCAGACTGGCAGCTGGGGAGGGGGAGGTCGCTGGCATCCCCCTTCTCCGTGCCCCGCTCCCCCGGGACGCTCGCCTGCTGCCGTCAGCGTTTGCTCCCCAAGCCCTGCTGTGCCGCTGCTGGGAGGAGCGGGCTCCTCGGGGGCATCAAAGCAGCGATGTGAGTCGTGATGCATTTCCCTGTTGTGATTTAATCTTTGTTTTTCTTCTCGTCCTTTACAGGATTCCATTGGTGAACCTGTAAAAAATATAAAAAAATAATGGGTTACCTGTACCTACCATTTCTGTTTACCAGTAGGAGACTCAAAGAGCAGCGTTCTATGGGCCAAATATATTTTTATAAAAATGAACACGCCTATAGGGAACTGCATTTTTCAAAGAGTGTGTTTTTGGAGAAGAGAAAGAAAAATGGGTGAGCAAAGAATCCTGTGGAGGAAGAGGAACTGGCGAGGGACCGAGAGGGAAGGACTGAGCGCCTGGAGCCCGGACGCGGACTGTGACTCTGAACCTGTGCCAATAATACCATTATGTGCCATGTACCGATGCAAAGACTTCGCGAGAAGCCGAAGCCAAGTCGATAACGCCTAGAAACGTCGTGGAAGACAAGTGGGGTGTCTCTTCTGGTGGGGTCATTCATTCCGGTCCATACGCATACATACGTACGATATATGTAGAGAGAAAATATATATATACACACACAAACACTTTTTGTACTGTAGCAATTTTTGAAGATCTTAAATACTCATTTTTAAAGAAGATGTCATGGGCTAAAAGTCTCATTTCTTTAACACGCATAATACAAACTAGGTGAACCGATGTTTTCTACTTTGGCAGCTTGCCTTTCAAACCTATATGTGTATATATAGATAGACATATATACATATATATACGTGTGTGTGTGTGTGTATGTATAAACATATATATGTATGTATACATATATATATATATAGTTTTGGTTCTTTTTGGAAACGCGTTTCCAGCGGTGGCGACGTGACTGGACTGCAGCAGCGGGCGGTGGGGGATGGCCGGGGCTGGCGCCGGGGGGCACCGCGCGCGCGGCGCGGCCGGCTGGCCGCGGGGGG